CATGATCAGATATTTCGGTTAATCAACATTGTACAAAGTGGAGAGAAGTAAGTGTCCATCTCCTAAATCACTCTTGATGGATCCAACCGCTGACTTTATAAATACAAGAGCCATATATCCTCATACACTTATAGAATGGATATTAGAGGCTACAGCGTATACAGATCAGGACGCCAATGGAAAGGATGGCCAGAAGGTAGCCATTTTATATGACATTGGATGTAACATCCGTAAGGGAATTGACAGGGTATGTCGTGTCTCATTGGACATCAACATATGAATATTTGAACTGATGGTTGATTTGAGCGGATAGCGTAACCTTTTTGCTGAAGAGCGTGCAAAACAACGCTTAATGTTTGCAACCAGTTTGTTTCATTCTTATGTTCATGAATGGTCATGCCAACTGGAATATAATCCTCGCCTGAATGAACTTTGGGGCCTTTCAGATGGGGAAGGTATGGAGCGTATATGGGCTGCGCTAGCAGTTCTTGTCGTAGTACTGAGATACTCAACTAAACAGCACAGGCTCACAGCCCTTCATTTCCTCTGCCTGCACCTCAATGAAAAAGGACGAGCACAGACAGGTAGTTCATGATTAAATTATAAAGCATCTAGTTCAATTGTACTGATTAAAACTCTCAGTCACAAAACAAATTACTCGACTTGATAGGACTCAGAAGGAGCTAGGCGAGGTGGAATTTCAACTCAGATCCATTCAACAAAGGCGTGGTTGGGATGTAACATATTTTAAAGTGCAGTGGGAGAGGAAGAAGCAGGTACAGCTTGCCACCACAAGCAAAAAGCGTCAGGCTTTTCTGGAAGAGCTTGGCGAGCTTCTTGACCTTGAGGAAAGGCTGGTGGAGGCACAGTGAGTTGGGATCTTGGTCCTTGTGGTTGATCACTTAATAACTGACCGCTTTCTTTTCAGAGCTAAATTCAAAGCCTTGCAGCGTAAGAAATCAAGAGGTTCACGAACCAAGAAAAAGAAAAACCAAATACTGGCACTTCCAAGTACATTGGTACTTCTGGAGGATTCTATACGCCGTGTTACAGAAAAGCTTGGCTCACCAGAATTTTGTGCGGTGACAAAACCAGGAGGTGAGTTAGTTGATAAGTATTGTATTCCATATATTACTGATCACATGTGCATATTATCCGAAAATCTAGATCTTAGGGCACAAGCGCTTGTTAAGCTTGTCATAGCCAAGACCAAGCTGTATAATGCAAAAGTGGGGGTAATGGAGCATCGTAGGCGTTCAAGTGAAAGACGAGGTAAGTGTATGTCACTCAGGCTTATCTAACTTATCATGATAACCCATGAATAATTTAATTTCAGGAACAAAAGTCCAACAATACCTTATCAAGATAAGGACAAACAAAAATGCAGATCTACGTAAAAAGGTTGCAACCTATCTACGTCATGCAAATAGCTACAATGAGGATTTTGAACCGGACCCAAAACTAGCGACCCCTACAGTTAAGGAGGTTGAGGAGATGGAATTTGGTGACCCATTTCTTGATTGTGGCAACCTTTCCCACCCTCAAGAACCTTGGGCTGTGGATGCGGATACTCAAGAAGGTATTCAAGCATACCTGATCAGGAGTCGCTGCAAAGAAGAGTTACGCAGGTTGACTAAGGAAGCAAGACAGACTGTCAAGTGGGCTCTTGAATATCAGGGACGCCTGGATAATTTGGCAAAAGATATTGAAGAAGGAAGTAAGGTCAGCTTCTCTACGTAAATAATATAAGGTTTAACTGACCAACCTCTGCAAAACAGATCTTCCTTCTTGGGCCAGGAATATGGAGATGATGCGTGCTTTGCATCATTCCCTGCTTAGGCAGGCTTGTAGACTATGGTTACATTGGAACCCTCAAATAAGGACCCTTATAGAACGAACATCTACACCTGAAGGATTTGAACAGCTTAAAGAGGATGATGAGCTGCTTTTTGCACGATGGCAAGACATGATGGCAAGTTGTATAAGAAGCTGGGAGGCGCATGTAGGTAGGACTTTGATTGCGGTGGATGAGGATGGGGCCTTGGGAGATGCAGAGGCAGTTGGTAATGAGATGGAGGTACCTGACATGGATGATGATGATGATGAGGCGGAGGAGGAGGAGGAGGAGGAGGAGGAGGAGGAGGAGGAGGAGGAGGAGTAACTTGAAGACAAAGATTTGTGATATATTTTTTTACAGCTTGGATGCCTTGTAATTCATGCCTTCCGTGCACATGTGTGACACATATGTTTCCAGGTGTGACACAGGATTGTGCCATTGTGACACATGGTTGTGGAGTTGTGACACAATCTTGTGCCACCGTGACACATACCTGTGCAGTGTGACAGATACTTGTGCAGCCGTGACACAAGATTGTATTTCCATCCTGCTGTGCAACACTTGAACCATTTAAACACATGTATGTGGCCATGTGCCACTTAGCTTTTGTATTATACAGGAGGACACATTTGTGACACACATTTGTGCAGTGTGACACACATGTGTGCGGCGTGACACACATTTGTGCAGGTGTGACACACATTTGTGCAGGTGTGACACATATTTGTGCGGTGTGACACACAATTGTGCCGGTGTGACACACATTTGTGCTGTTGTGACACACTGTATAGTGATTTCTGAATGAAATGTATATTTTCACATGTTTTTTTCTTTCTTATGTGCTACCACCAGTTGAACTTATACCGCTGTAGACACAGCTAGACAAATGGGTCTGCACATAGCTTGCCCAAAAAATCTACGTTTTCACGTAAAAATAAAGTTTTGCAGAATAAAATGAAAAATACAACATATTTGTTATCCAAAATCTGTCTGAATATTTATCCTTCCTCACCTTCTTCTCCTAGGTCAGATTGATGCTCCGGAATAGACTCAGAGGGCGAGGTAGGTGCTTCTGAGTCAGCTTTGACTACTTTTACTACTTTGTAATTCCCATCCAGTATATCTTGGGTCCACAATTTGTATGTGGCAAGTGACATCTTCTCAAAAGGTTTTTTGAGAATATCGTCAGTCATTTTGCTCTCAAGGGTCCGCTCAACTTTAAGTCTGACATCACCTGAGAAATGACGTGCAGCAATAGTCAGGTGTGAATTGGAAGTCTTTGGATGACAATCCCGCATTGTCAAGGGAGGCTTCAGATGAGCAGCTTGACGGGAGGATGGATGCAGCTTTAGTATGATGAAATGTAAGACAGATGTCAATTATGAAATACTTACTAACAAGTCCATTGAGAGTAGAAGTGAGGCGCATCTTGATGAGGTCACTAGATTGTGGGGTCTTCTTTTCGACTACTGTAGGTTTCTCAGCCTTGATTGTCTCCCGAACAAAGATTTCCAGAAGGTGTTTTTGACCCGAAATATGAAGCCAATCTTCACATGATGAGGTTTCATTCTCCCAGTGAGCCTTGTCATTGCGGGTTTGAGGGTTCCATGAGCAAGCCATGAGGTGGTACTGAACTCCGTAGCGTATGTTGATAGTTTGTAACTTGAAAAGTTTGATGTTGATGAGCAAAAAATTGAAGTTTATCATCGTAATAGGAAGACGAGGACTCACATCATTGTCAATCCGGCCAATTTCCTGGATCCCTTTGTTTTGGTTTTTAGTTGGAAGATCTGGGCCAAACTTTCCCTTTCCCAGGTCTTTAGAAACTCGGTCAAGATTGATATTTTCCTTGAAGATTGGTAAGTATTTGGTGATCTCTTCACCAGTCAATGTAGCCGAGCCTGCCTCTTCAGGAAGTGGGCGTCCACAGGCAAGGTTCCCAAGCTTATAGAACATATCTTCGTTGTAGATATCCTTGCAGTCGGAAGATAGATTAGTCCAGAAATATCCGAGGTGCTGGTTACGGTCGCCAAAACCTTCAGATTGGTTTCGGGGTGGCACTTAGGAGGCAGAATGTATTAGTTGTGTGAGGGGTGAGTTTACACAAGTAACAACTTACTTTGTGTACAAGTAGTACTCTCCAGGCTGTACTTGAGGAAGGTTTGATATATAGATCTTTTTGTACGTACACTTGCTTCATGCCTAGGAAAAAGAGATTGCATTAGTTGTATGAGAAAATGTTGTTCAAGGATACCGAACCCACAGGAACTCATTGATAGTCTTCTCACTACAGTGTGCCATCAATGCAAACAATTTCTTCATACGTCGGTACCACATTTGAATGTTTTTGAGCTCGGTTTGAAGGTTAGTTGGGATCCGATTAGAAGTTTTGCGGTCTTTGTCCGCAAGCAATTCATCGATGGCGGCTTCATCGAGATCACACTGTTCGTAGTTTTTCAGAGTGACACGGTGGGGATCAATATCAGAGGGATTCTGGGGTTTGTCGAAGCGGCTGGGTTTGATAGGTAGGTCGATTGGTTTTTTCCGACTGATTCGAGTGCGTTTGACGGGAGGGGTTTGGGGTTGATCATCCTCCTCATCGTCCTCCTTATCGAATTCATCTTTTTCTACTTCATCTTCATCTTCATCATCTTCGTCTTCATCTTCTTCATCTTCATCTTTGTCAGCATCGGAGTCATGCCTCAAAGGCCTCGAAACGGCCGAGGCTGTGGTTTTCTTTTGGGTAATCGTTTGGAAGTACGGTGTTGAGTTGGTTTGGGTTTAGGTTTGACAACAGGAGATGCTAAATGGCGTTTGCGGTACCACTTAACGGCATTTTGTAGGATGGATGGTGATGT